CATAGATATACTTTACCTATACTTTACATTCTCCACGGATCATGAACGACTGATGACAACGACGACACTTAGTGTGTTTATAAACGTAGAGAATCGGGTGATCGGGTCTTGACTTCAACATCGAGAAGACACTATGTCGTATTTTACTATAATGCTATATATACTTATTTACTTACGCTAAACGATAAAATTTATACTTTTCTTTGTTACTTTTCTCTGTTTTATATATTAAAGGAAAACAAAAAATCTAACAAAATATGTGAATATAGTGGTTTTATTTTCAGTATATATGTGTAAATTTGGTTTAATAATGATTTGAAAATTTCTTGAAATGCAGTTTAGGAAGTAGCTAAGAGTCTGATGTACTTAACTTTTGACAACTTATCAAGATATATACTCACTGGACTCATTTAGAGCTTTGGAATCCAATACTGTATCGAGAAAAATGTATCCAAATCATATGGTAACGAAGAACGAACTCAATTTCAAAACGATTTGCTAACAATCTTAATGATTTAGTTAATTCGTCTTTTTGCATATTTTCTGTGTACAATATATTCTTTAGAAAACTATTCAAAATGTCCAATATTATTAGGTCTTTTAGGTATATCTAAAACGTATTTTTGACATTTGTGCTATTTATGTGTTCTTTGTGCGATGCATTAGTGGAACTTTTATCTAAGTTAGTGTAGACTGGAATTTATTAGATGCGCCACAATTCACAATTTCGAAGTTACAACTTTTCAGACATCTAATTGTTGTGATTGTTGATATAAACATAATAAAAGCAATCTTCTCCTATGTGTTAATGCCTTCCACTATCCTGTTAATAATATATTTCGTCTTTAGGTTCCGTGCTCTCGTACGTAAATACTACTTGTTAAATTGAAGTACGTTACATTTTATTTATAACTATTTTTCACTGGAAATTGCAGGATAATTATTATACAATATATCATATGAGTTAACTGTCATAGGAGAAAAAAAAGTCGAAAGGGTGATATATGTGTGCAACGAATTAATGCAAGTGAAATAATTTATCATAATAATGCTTACAGTTTTTACACAACTATTACTGCATCTAGAGCTTTGAAAATTTCAACATTTGTTTCCTTTTATAATCCGCAAGATCAGAGTTCATCATATTCATGTTAAAATTTTATTCAACCAGCTGTATTTCTACAAATTATTGCATAGGCTCCGTTTAATCATTATTTGTGATTTGTTTCTTATTAAAATAAACTATACTCTTTCATAAAGAGTTATATAGGAACAAGAAAACAATTTCAATAAATAATAATAAAAATATCTACTTGGCTTTTCATAAAATAATACAATGCCCATTTACAAGTAGAAAAAAAGAAGGTTCATAATATACAATATCAAAGTATATTATCAAGCAATTATTACTATTTATGGCCCAATTCATTATATTGGGTCACTACAATAATATCAAAGCAAATATTTCAATTATATATATATATATATATATATATATATATATATATATATATATATATACTGAATTTTATACTGAAAATTACAAGATAACTATCTTAATAATATATCACACAAGTCAACTGTTACTGGGGAGAAAATGGAGAAAGTAATTACGTGTGCGTAACAAATTAATGCGAATAAAATCAATTATTGCAAGATCAAAATTTATCATATTTATGTTATACTCAGCCAACTGCATTCTTACAAATTATTGTGAAGATTCCACTAAGCTGTCAAAGTTGTGTCAAAGTTGTGATACACTTAATTATTATATATATAGTATATATATTTAATTACATTTAATTATATATATAGTATATATATTTAATTACATTTAATTATTATATATATAGTATAATCCGTTTATTATATTATTTTACTATTCCATAAAAAAATATGTAGGAAGACAAAAACAGTTTTTCAATAAATACCGTAATAAAAATATTTATTTAATAGATAAAATAATACAACACATATTTATTTAATAGATAAAATAATACGATACACATTTACAAATAGAAAACAGACGTAGGTTTATAATATACACTATCAAAGTGTATCATCAAGCAGTGATTTACTACTATTATGGTAGAATATTTACTATTTATGGTACAATATTGCGTCATTATAATAACATCAAAGCAAATATCTTTATCATTATATTAAATATAACTTCTATTACTAAGTTAGATCTAATATTATTTATAATTGCAGATATTATACTAGATGCAAATATATAATATTGATGATTACTACATTAATGTTATTCATATTCTTCAATACGTCTTTAATCTATTTATTGCCTCTAATATCTAATCATCTAACAAATTTAATACTCTGTTCTTCCAAAATAGCGGAAATGGTAGGATATTTTCTCTAATTGTGTCTTCCGTTGATTAACAAGAAATGCAATTTTACGTTTCTCCTCCTTTGTGAATTTTTGACTTGATGTTACAAATTCTATTATCTGCAGAAAACAATTTCGACATGTACAGATAATGTACGGATAATGTAAAATCGTAATTGATGGAAAAGAGTAACCAGAATTAATCACAGAATATATTAATAAAATATCGGAAAGAAGTAAGATCTAACTATGAAATTTTACCTCTTTAAAATTATCCTTGGAATATAATTCCATAACGGTGACACCCAATACTGTGATTGGAGACATACTACCCAAAATACTGTGAATAAAACAAATAAAATTTATTAATACTAAAATATAATTTGATTATAAACTGCATATATATATATATGAAAGAAATATTACGTTGACGTTAAGTTATCATAATTCTCTAAGATATGCATCAGCACAGCATTCTTCCTTGCATGTTTCTTTACAAAAGAACGATATGCTGCCATAATAATCTCATATGACATCTCTAGATCTCTACCGTCATGGTTTGATATCCTTAATTCCTCATATTTTAATTTCCATAAAAATTCCAAATAAGCAAGGAGTGCATGTTCATTTTCAGTACATGCCAAATACGTTAAATGCTCTTGAGTATAGTTGCCAGAATTTTTATCTAAAAACTGACGCCAAACCTGTAGATTTGCTTCCATCAAACCACCACAATATAACCATTCCTTCCACCACGGTCGAATTCTATGACATACATCAGAAACACCTCACTCAAAAATTCTTTATTCAAAAGTTTTCTCCAAACTAATACTATGATATAGCATGCAAGATGCAAAAAAAATTGAAGTTATCGTTACTAATAAAGTGAGGTACACGCACATAGAGGAAAATTTGTTGAGATAAGTCAGTACAAAAGTGGCCGTTTCCCTGCATGACTTATGGCCGAATTTACAAGCCCACTTTAATCCTAATAACCTTAAAGATTTGATCATATTGTCTTCCTCAATGTTTTCAATGAATCCAATCTTCTCAAGAAGACTATCCAAAATTTCTAACACATATGACTGCATATATAAAAAAAATATAAATTTTTAATTGCTTGTCGTTCGTAATGACGCAACATATATAAATTTCTTGAATGCATACAGTGTAATTATTTTGTACTTATTATGTATTATATTTGGATAATATATTATATACCCAAACCACTCGAGAGACATTTTCAAATGAAAATGCATGTAATATACTGATTCATATATATATACGAAAGAATATTTTACAACTTGCCTTGAATTGTTCACTTGCTGGTAATTCAAAGTACTTCGACATGTACATTAAAATATTAAACATAGGGTACCAGGCTACATAATGCCTTTCCCTTCTTAAGTATCTAATCAGACGTACGAACACAGAGACTTGGAGTTTATTATTTGTCACAAAATAATACGCATCATCAATTAATTGAGCGCGATTCAAAACATTAATTTGGGTATAATTATGAAAATTTAAGTAAGTACAGATTTTGTCCCAGTTTCGGTAATCGTAATTGACGCGATAATATCCTGCAATTAAAAAGAAAATTAGCTTGTCGTATTAAGCTATTATATCATATTCTTTAGTCGTATTTATTGAGGACTCGTTCGTTAGTTCTCATGTCTCTTTCGAGAGCATAATAAAAAAAGATTCGAATCTTCACGGATATCATCAAATATAAAATGTTATTTAACTTAAAGTAAACGTAAGGACATAGATAATCAGCGATAAATACTCACCAGTATATTTCATATTAACTATTATGAAATCATTAATATCCAATTTACTGATATATATATCATAAGGCTTGATACAATAAAATAAAATTTTCGATGTAACATTCATGAAAGTAAAATTTGATATCTTGAGACAAGTTATAGGTATTTTCCAATTCGTTTCGTTGAAATTATATGCTGAAAGTGTTGCAAACCCATTATAATCACAATCGACTTTCAACTCAGGAAAATGCCTTTTTGTCATCCATGTATCCATTATTTCAGTTATGTTGTAGAGCAATTTGTCATTATTTGTTAAGGAACTTTGCACAATAGCCCAGAAA